AGTGAGCAGATTCCTTCAGGCTAGAGATGAAAGGAACGCTAATTAAAACTGGGCAAAAAAGGGGCAATTGAGCTGTTTTCTGATCAATCTTGACAATCTAGCCCAAGTAAGAAGGAAAAAAAAAAAAGAGAGAGAGAGATCCCAGTTCCCCAAAGATTTCTCAGATCACATGTCAGTGGGAAACATCAGTCTGGAAGTTGAATTCAGATGTATTCCTTAACCCAGGTAAACTTGATGCCTCCAGAATTGAGCAAAACGTTCAGAAGGCTTTTAGCATATGCCCTGAAAACCTAACCTGTCTTGGTTTCCCAAATCCATTCGTAATCATCCTTCCAAATCAAACTGGACGTTGATCTTCACAACCCCACAAATATTGGCCTTCAAATCAGAAAATCTTGGCTTCGTTCTCAAAAGAAAGCTCCCTTTCCTATCCCCATTGAGTTGAGTTATTGTTCAGCATTGCTAGGCATTGTGGGGAATTTCTGAACTTTAAGGCTAAGAAATTTTAATGACACTTTCTCTGCCACGTTAAAGACTAAAAATCCACTCGGGTGCCTGGTTTGAAGACAGCTCGCCGAGAATCTGCCAATAGAGTTGTAGACAATTCTCAATCATTCACAATGGCTTCCAATACATAACTAATTTTTTGGGGGAAAAACTGCATTATTACAAATCTTGGGATGGAATGCAGCTTATGAGTGAGCTTGGTGTGCATGAAAACCGCTGAAGTTTTCAAAAAACGGAGGGGGGAATTGCGTATGCAAGCATATATAAATAATATATACGTGTGGAATAAGTAAATTAAAATCCAGCCACATTTCCATTTTCCTTGCTTTGTCCCCAAAGTGTGGGATGCATAAATGGGCCAAATCTAACCGATTGAAGATATGAGAAAGTCGCGGAAGAACTGAGGCACGCTGTCCACAGTTTAAAGAATCAGCCAATCTCAGAAAGACGTTTGAACAATTAGCCTTGGAGATTTTAAGAAAGTAATGCCTCCTCAGAAAAATGGCAGATCTAGACTGATAGTAAACAGTGCTATAGGTAGTCCTTGGCTTACAACCATAATTCAGCCAGGATAGCGGTAAGTTGTTGCAGATGTACATTGAGGCATCTTGTAACCAGATTCAAAGTTATGACCATTTTTTTTACAATGTTCAGTGAATCCAGTTGTTCAGTGAATCCAGTTTTTCAATATGTCATAAGTCACTTTTTTTTGTGCCATTGTAACTTCAAGTTTCAATAAGACGTGTTAAATAGCCATGCTGTAATTTGTGATTTGCATTCGGCCATAGGACTTTTGCATCAAAACTGGTTATTTTTAGCCAGGTCCTTCCTTGAAGCGATAACCAGGCTAAAGCCCTCGGGCTAGTGACTGTCAGGGAATCAAAAACGAGGCCCAGGTTGTCAAATTAATTGACTTGTGTTAAATCAGATCAGTTTTACAACTAGATGTTGGATTAATTAGACCAATGAAGGATGCTAAGTACGTTTAATTTGGCTACCTGACAAGACAACCAACGAGATTCATTTCAAGGACGGGGCTAACAAGATGACAGAATGGTGAATTAATCAACTCAGAATCTGACATTGGCAACCCACAGAAACTTTGGGATAAATAGACATATTTTCAGAAAATTCGTGAGCTGCAGTCCTATTTAAAGAAGGAGGGGGGGGGGGAAGATTGACAGGGTTTCGGATTGACCAGGACAGTCTTATGAATTATCTGCAGGAGATGAAAATTGGAAGATTTGTTTTAGCAAGACGCTTCGAGCCCCGAAGACAGGATTTAACAAAAAGATGGTCTGCAGGTTCTCCAAAGCCACCATCTCCTATGAAAGAGGCTTCTCAGCCTTTGGAAGGAAAAGGGATGTGGGAAACATCTCAGAAGGCACTCTCCTTAAGTTTTCCAGAGATATAAGAAAAGAAGGGGAGAGATACGCTCAGCTTTGCAAGATTCTGTTAATGTAACCTGACGATAAACAGAAAGTTGCGCTTCTTATCTGGACTATCTTGCGATGCCAGAGTTTGCTTGGTTTCTCCTTCTGATGTCCTGTCCAATTCCTGTTCTGACGATCCCCAGCAGCTCTGGCATCCTAGCTAGGAACTGAAAATCACTGTTTTTTTTACATCAGCCAATTCTTTCCTCCACCCCAAACTTCACAAGTCAGCTGAGCACTCCTGGACTCCAGAGCTTAGAGGCAAGATGGAGATAAAACAAGTGTCTGATCAATGCAACCACTCTGGATTTCGAAGCCACTGGGCCTTGCCTGGAATGAGATCAAAGGTTTTTGGTGCCGCTTAAATGAGCAGTTGCTAAAGACATTAGCATTCACAAAGTCCTCTCGGAACAGAGGGAGAAAAAAAAAATGCCTAGGAAAAACGAAGACCACAAAAAAGCCATCTTAAATGAGGCCCCTCAATCTTTGCTTTAGATAGAAAGAAGGCAACCGTGTTGAAGATCTTGAAATGCTCCAGAATTGGCTTTCTTTTCTAGAGCACGATTCTCGCAGCTCCCATTTTCTACGGTGCACAGATGGCAGTTCTCAATATTTCAGACAAATGGCCACTCGAGAGATTGCGGCACTGCCATGGCAAAAAGTCAGAGGCTTTATTTACCGATAACCACATTGCCGGCGTGTCGACACCTGCATCCAGGCGGTGCAAACAGGGGCTCTAAACTAATCCAATTTCACCATCTGGAACAATCCAGTTTCACACGGCACCTCAGGGAGGAGAACAGTTTTTCTGCATCTGGATCTGGCACATGAGTTGGAGATTTTATTGGATCCCATGAGTTGGTTCATCACTGGGAAGGGGTCTTCTGGAAAAGCCTTTGAACAGACTCTCCAAATCCACAGAGCTCTGGTTTATTTATTATTTATTTTATTAGACTTTTTAAAAACCTCACTTTTATTACTTTATAAGTAACTCAAGGCGGCAATCGTACATGGAACTCTTCCCTCCTCCCCATACCAATTCTGTGAAGTAGGTTGGGCTGAGAGAGGGGGAATGGCCCAAAGTCACGCAGGTGATTTTCATGCCAAATGGGGGACTAGAACTCACCGTCTCCTAGTAATTGGCCCAGAGTCACCCAGCCAGCTTCTGTGCCTAAGGCAGGACTAGAACTCACTGTCTCCTGGTGATTGGCCCAAAGTCACACAACCAGCTTTCATGCATAAGAGAGGACTGGAACTCACCATCTCCTACTTTCTAACCTGGTGCCTTACCCGCTAGACTTTATGCAAGATTGAAATGATTATAATTAGTTATTGTAACTGTACCACATTTTTTATCAGCAAACGGTTGAAATAATAAAACAAAAATCTAGGAACAAAAATTGAATACACGGGAATGGTGACACTACCATTCTGGAGACAGACTGAAGTTTCAGCGCTCAGGAAATGGGTGTATTCAGGATGAATTCACGGGAAAGAGGTAAAAATGATCTTATTTAACTACATATTGGAAACTATTTCTCAGCAGTTAAGAGCAAATTGGGATACATTTTTCAAAGATTATATGGGCCTAACCAAACTGATGCTTTGAAACGACTTCTTAAAACAAAAGAACCGTTCTCTCTAACTATGATAGAATACAAGTCTTGATTGCCTTATTCCGTGGACACTTCTGGTTTTGTTTCAAGATGTTTCTTGCACAAGTTACAGCTAGTCCACAACTTAGCAATAGTTCATTTAGTGATCGTTTGAAGTTACAATGGCACTGGAAAAGGTGACTTGTGACTGTTTTCACGCTGTTGCAACGTCCCCATGGTCGCGTGATCAAAATTCAGACGTTTGGCGACTGACTCATATTTATGATGGTCGCAATGTTCTGGGGTCATGTGATCCCCATTTGACAACCAATTCTCCAAAGCACCTGAGGGCGGGACAAGAAGCAACGGATAGAAACTAGTCAAGGAGAGAAGCAACCTGGAACTAAGGAAGAATTTCAACTTTTTTGAACCAGGAATGTTGACACAGGTTTAGCTCTGTTTTTGGTCCTCAACCTGTCACTTTCCATCTTAAGTGCAATCGTGAGCCACTGATCACCCTGGATCAGCAACCAAGGAGTTAAAACAAACTAACATCAAGGATCACTTCCTGCTTTCCAGGTAATCAGTTCCCAAGTTACCCATTTTACGTGCCTGTGTTGGGTTTTGTGCCTAGTTTTATTTATGACCGTGCTAATTAAAGCACCATTTCTGCTCCAGAGCTACATCTTTTCGGCATAAGCAGACATGATCCATAAAGACTAATATCAAATTAGCCTGAAAAGGGATGTTACCATCAGGAGTTTTAATAGAGATTTACTGATTCCCTGGCTTCCCATTTTGCTTATTCCTTGACATTTGTAAAGTTCAGGTTTACACAATAAACCCAGATTTGGAAGAGAGAGAAAAAAGGAAAAAATAAAAACAACAGGAGAAACTCGAGATATTATTTACACTCTGTTTGCCATTTTCTGCTTGGATAACGTTCCTGCCCACTTTTCAAGGGATCCTGCTGTGGGATCAAAGTTGGGAGCTGTTTTAAGAAAGATTTGGAAGCAGAATTTTCACTGAAGGGAAGAGATGCTGTTGAAGAGAGAGCTTAAACTGAAATTACAAAGCAAATTTCATGCATGGGAAACTGCTGCTTTTATTTAAATTTTGTAGACAGGGCAAGGGGAGATACCACTAATACTGAGAGCTGGGGAATACAATTTAATCCAAGTGGGAACAAAATTTACAGATGCAGATAGTCCTAAATGAATTTTGTCCCGTTTTACAACCTTTCTTGCTACAGTTCCTTCCTTCCTTCCTTCCTTCCTTCCTTCCTTCCTTCCTTCCTTCCTTCCTTCCTTCCTTCCTTCCTTCCTTCCTTTCCTTCCTCCCATTTTTGCAATAAGAACCATACTGCAATATAGGTCTGGCTGAGCGCATCTGTGCCTTGTCCCAAATCTCCGAGGATAGGCTTGAATCTGAATTTTCCTGCTCCTCATCCATTGTCGACACCTTAATGCCTAAACTACACCATCTCTCATGGGACTCAGACAATGCCCTGGATCTGTTTTCCAATGGAGAAGTCATTGAGGAGCAGACAGGATTCTCAGAGACGAAACGTCAACTCCACAGAAGCACCGAGCCCTCTCTGTCTCCTGCAACGCTCAAGTCGGCTAAGAAAGACCCCCAAGAGAAATTAGAAAGTTTCAAAGCCCTGGAGAACAAGGTAGGAAAAGAAAACACTGGAAATGCAATGAGAAATAATGGTCTAGGTAGGCAATTATTTTGCATTGCTTCTCCAATGTTGTCTTGGATAAATACACTCCCCGTATCAGACTAACCTTTGCAAAACAATAAAATAAAATAAAAATAAAAATGGTAGAGAGATAGAAAAAGCTTCCAAAAGCGATGGACATCCTGCAGATGGACATGTTCATGTTGGAGACTTTTATTAGCTTCCCAGATGCTTTCAAAGAATACAGAATACATGCTTTCAAAGAATCCTTGCCTTATAACCATTCATTTAGCGACCGTTCAAAGCTATGACAGCATTGGAAAAAGTGACTTACAAGTCCTCGCACTTATGACTGGCACAGCATCCCCATGGTCATGCCTTAAAGAATGGGAGCAGGCAGTTTCCATCCGCTGCTTCTCGTCCTGCCCTCAGATGCTTTGCAGAATAGCTTGACACACCCCCCTCTTCTTTGTGGCAGCCCCTCAAATTTTGGAAGGCTGCATTCATTTGATAACAGAAAGTCATTTGAACGTGCAGGTATCCGAATCTTGATTTTAATCACTAAGGAGCTTATAGATAAGAGTGTCTCTCCATGGCCAGCGGTGTTAGTTCAATGTTCTCCTTTGATTTTTTTTTTTTAAAAATGTATTCTGTTGATAAAGAAATTGGCAAATTTTGCTGAGTTTCTCTGTTCTTTTGTCAAATACATATTAATTCTTAGCAGGGTTGAAAATGGACCTCCGTGAAATTCCCAAACTGAGACTTGGCCAAAATTGTCTTCCCCTCTGCACTTCAAGTGGTACAGTCCAAGAGCATCCTTTCTCACACACACCCCAGCCTCAGTCCAGAATCTCTGGTCCTTGATCCTACTAACCATGGAGTCGATGGCATTAACAGAATAACAGAGTTGGAAGGGACCTTGGAGGTCTTCTAGTCCATCCCCCTTCTCTAGCAGGAGACCCTATGCCATTTCAGACAAATGGCTGTCCAGTCTCTTCTTAAAAACCTCCAGTGATGGAGCACCCACAACTTCTGGAGGCAGGTTGTTCCACTGGTTATAATTGTTCTAACTGTCAAGAAATTTCTCGTTAGTTCTAGGTTGGTTCTCTTTAGTTTATTTCTTGCAGGAGGTTTTTTTGGAGGTTTTTTTCTCGATTCCCTTGCCCATAACTCACAGACACACACACACACACACACACACACACACTTAATAACGAGCTAATGTGCATGAATGAATAAATACACCTTGGTGATGAGCAGATTGCTGGAGTTTCATAGTGCAAATGAACCACTTTGCTCCAGGCTAACACAGTGTGTGTAAAAAAAAAAAAAAAAAAGAATTACTCAGATGCATTTACCAGAGAGGTTTCGCCACCGTCAGCAAGACAAGATTGAGGGAATCGGAGAAAGGCTTGACATGAGAACAAGAATGCACTAAGGCAGCTTCTGAATTACGTTTGGTCTCCAAAGAGAAGCTAATCCTGACGGGATCCGGGCAGAATCGACAATGAAGTAGCATCAGCCAAGTGCTCAATCTTCACTCCCTGCGGCCTGTCTTCCGAGCAAGTGAGAGGCTCTGAGCTTTCCCAGGTTTATTCTTCTTAAACACAGCGGTGGACAAAGTGAGGCAAGGAGAAAATGTTGTTGTGGAAACGAGAGCAAAGGGAAGGCAACACAGCCCAGAGTCCAGAGAAGTTAAAGCCTCGGTTGGTACAGGAATGGAATTGAGAGATCCGATTCACAAGGGATTGGCTTAAATCTGCAAGGCGTATTGAGTTTGAATGAATCTGGGCTTCTTTCATACAGGCATTTTTAGTAGCCAAGCTAGATCTGGCCAGTTTGGACCCACGACTGTTATAATGTCATTGTTAGCAGTTACTAATCAAGATCAAGAGTCTTTAAGAAGAAAAACCGGACGGTCGTTGGATACGATTAAATAAAAGAATACTTTGGACCTGTCCAAATGCAAAGTCAGAGTTTCCAGGGATGAGGGACGTATAGACAGTCCTCTCCTCCCCTGTACAGGTAGTGCTTGACTTACAACCATTCAATTAGTGACCGTTTACGTTATAACGGCATGAAAAAGGTGACGTATGACCGTTGCAATATCCCTGTTGAAAGAAAAATCTTCATCAGGGTCCAGTCCAAGCCGGGAATAAACAAAATTGAGACTGCTTTGGAAAGAAGGTGGTAGTTTATTGAAGAGCAGAGCCAGACAGAAAGATGGTTCGTTATGACTGTTTTGCAATCATTGCAATATCCCCATGGTGAAATGACCAGTGTCGGTAGGGGGGGGGAGATGATGTCACAGAGGACAGGACCTATGGCAGGAAAGGGTCTCCCCTTGGATCCCACCAGCCAGAATTCCTTGGCAGACAGGATCCACAACATGACCCTTCTGCCAAGGTGAGTCGACGGGCCAATCCCATTGGAGTGAGACAGTTCCTCAGAATTACTACATATTATGTAGACAGCCAGCCGCAAATGTCTCCATTATCATTGAAAAGACACATCACTGGATCATGGGAAGGTGGTTAAGAAGGACACGCCAAAGAGCCCCCCCCACCCCTAATTCCTTTCTTGTTATTACTCATCTCCTGGGCTTCTGTGCCATTCTCCCATTGCCAGCTCTGAGCATCAGACATACTGCTTTTCATAAATCAAGCTAAAACCAAAATGACAATCCATCAATCAAGTTGGAAAGAAGCCGAAGGACAGCAAATCAATAGAGCTAAACACCGGGGATATCAATTGCACAAGTCAAAGCTTTCCAGTGTCGGGGGAACAATACGATAACACTTTGCAACCAGGATGCGTTGGAAGAGCCAAGTTTTAATGGTCTTTCTTCAAAGCAAGAGGGCGGGAGTTGGGTAGCTGAGGAAACACTGTTCCATAGAAGCTGGAGAACCTCTGTGAAGATTTGCGTCCATGCTCCATGGAGATGACCATCCATGAGAGAAGGGATGGGGGAAAAAAAAGGCAACATTGCCAAATCTTTGAATGAAGAGGAATTAACATAGGGCAAAATTCACTTAACAACAGAAATTTGGGACTCCAGTGTGGTCGTAAGATGAGGACTATCTGTAGTGTGAAGGACATTCTCCCAGGATACTGGGCAGATATTTTTCCTCCTTGGGAAGACAAGGTTGCATTCATTGCCCCTTGTACGAGTCTCTTTCAGCTTTGGTTAAGCAAACCTGCACGCCAACAATTCAATTTATCTAACATGAAGAAGAGAAGGTGGAAAGGTTTCCTGCAGCATGCTCTTTAACAGATGGCCTTCACGCCCTTCAACCTGATCCAGCTTCAACCGGGGCAAGGGCTATGTGGGAAGAGTGTATAAATTACAAAGGGGGGGAGCAGAAAGATTTTTGATGGGGACGGAAGGCTGCTCAGAGGGAAAACAGGTTAACGGGGCTACGTTTCAAGCAAAAAAACAAGCATTGTCATAAATATTAAAGGAATCCTGGCTGGGCTTTGATGAGAGTAGAATTAAAGCTTTTTTCCTTCTGCCTCTGCTTAAAAAAAAACATGCATGTGGAAATAAACACAGAGAAAGAAAAGTCTGCGTTTGCAGGACCTGCCTTCCAAAACCCACAGGTAATCCTCGGCTTGCAACCGTTCACTTCATTCAAAGGCACCGACAGAAACGACTTACATCCGATCCTCACGCTTATGACCATTGGGGCGTCCCGTCCCCCCCCCACGGTCACATGATCACAATTCAGGCGCCTGGTTGCAGGATCCCAGGGTCATGTGATCGCCATTTGCAACCTTGCCACCGGCATCCGACAAGCCAAGTTAATAGGAAAAGCTGTATTCACTTAACGAACACACGATTCGCTTAGCGACTGCAGTGATCGGCTTAACCACCACGGCAAAAAAAAATAATACATTAAAATCACTTTAATATCACTTCACAACTGCCTTCCTTAGGGAGGGAAATTCTGCAGATAGTTTTAATAGGATTGGAGGTGCATGTTGCAAAAGTGGTAGGTCTATGCCTCTCTCTCTTTTGTTTTTGCAAAGCTATAGAGGTAGTCCCAGACTTATGACTAGGCAGGCGGGGCAGAATCTCCGTTGATAAGAAAGGCTAGGTTCCCCCCTCCCCAAACTGGATAACGGTAATCCATTGGCTCACCCCCAAGATCTGCTTAATTTCCAATGCAATGCACCCTCTCGAGAAGCAGTGATTAGGCAAGCAAGCACATCTCCCATGACAGGGAAATAAATTCTGATGAACTTAATTCATTGCTTCGGTCCAAAGGATGAGCTCACGGACCCTATTTTTAACTCTGTTGGATGGCGGCTGTTTGACAACGGATGGATGTATTGATCCTGCTTTTCCTCAAGCCCTTGTGAAGGCAGCAGATTTTCTGTCCTCGGGACCCTGATCTGATGACAGTAGCTAATATTACAGCAGCCTTTACTGTAAGCGAGGGATATCTGATAAAAGTCTTGTGATGGAGATTAACGGGACACATTTCAACAACCTGTTACGTTGATGACTTTGACGTTTCTACCTTCTCCTGACTACGCTGCTCTCTTTATACATTCAGAGAATACCCCGTGCAGCTGTTGTGAAGCTCCAGAGGCTGTCAAGGGGGGCTGAATAGATTAATCTAATTCAGATGCATGCCTCCGTTTGTTAGGCGGTTTCATCACATATTGTGTGGCAAAGTTTTTTAAATAGTCGCTGCTTTTCCTGGGATTGTAAAGAGGCAGCTGCTTTCAAGAGTCTTTAAGCATCTTCTGAAGTGCATTTTTCTTTTTTTACTGCTGGTGCATAAAAACTTGTGCAACCAACAATCCTTTTGTTTTTTGTGTCCCAAGAGGTATTTTGAAGTTTTGTAGGGCCTAAACATGGCATCTGCTGCCAGCTCTTGAAATTGTAGGGAAATAAGGCAGTTGCTTCCAAGAGTATTTAAGCACATTCTGAAGTGGGCTTTTTTTTTAAAGCCAAATTCAGCTTTGCCACAATGCTGGCAAAC